AATGCTGTTAACAATGGCTGGTCAGGGTGCGGTAGACGTGGCGCACAGATCTCAACGCCACATGACCCCTGTGGGGGCAGGACAGGAAGAAGAGGAGGAGGTAGAGGAGGACATTTGTGCTCAGGAATTATTGAGTGAAATGGGTGGTTTTTCCACTCAGTCGGACAGGAGTGGAGGAGCAGGAGCATCTGGTAGAGGAGGAGGAGGAGGAGACAGAGGACCCAGACGCACCGTGGCAGTATGCTGTGGAGATGGAGGCAGGGAGTCCCTCGCATTCCTTGGCACAAATGGGCCCATAGCATGCTCGGTTGCTTTGCGTAGCGACAGCCGAATAATAACCATCAGACAGAGGGATGACTTTTGGCTGTCCACCTTGTTGGACCCTCGCTACCACCGTTCCAAAATGGTGGCCTTTTTCACACCTGCTGAGAGGGAGGCCAAAATAACGTACTATAAAAACCACCTATGTAGTCAGTTGGTCTCTGCCTTTGTGCGCCAACGTCCATCCTCAGACACTGTGGGCCCTGTGCGCTCTCGCGTTCCGCTGCCATGGCAGCAGGGGAGGGGTGGGGTGGTAGGAGCAGTGGCAGCTCTCCACCAGCAGCGGCTGCCTCAGTCTGCAGTCGATGATGAGTAGCTTTCTTCACCAGCGCAGTGAGGAAACTACTAAACCGCAGCCAGCAGCAGCAGCAGCATCAGGTGGACCTGGAGCAGGACCTCAAACAACAGGCTTGGGCCTACTTGGACAGCACCCTGCCAACCGAGGTAGACAATCCCCTTGACTACTGGGCAACGAAACTTGACCTTTGGCCCCAACTAGCTGAATTTGCCCTTGAAAGGCTGTCATGCTGCGCCGGCCAGTAGCGTGGCATCGGAGCGCGTGTTTAGTGCGGCAGGAGGTATTGTAACTCCGCGGAGGACACGACTGTCCACCCAAAGTGTGGAGAGACTCACGTTTGTGAAAATGAATCAGGCGTGGATTAGTCTGGATTTCAAACCACCAGTTCCTGACACAACTGACTAAATCCGCCATGAATCATGCCTCAAACATGTGCCACTGTTTTGAGGTCTCCTCACACACTGCTGGTGTGTAGAATTTTTTGACATAGGGTGCTGGCAGATTACGGGCCTCCCATAGCTGCTGCCAGGCCCCTAATCTGCCATAGGCCCCTATATACCGCCTCCTCCTCATGCTGCTGCCAGAGTCCAGAGTCTCTCATGGGTCCCCTGTACGGCCTCCCATTGCGCTGTCTCCATCGCCCACACTCTGCTGCCATGTGCCACTTTCAGGTCTCTCACACACTGCTGGTGTGTGTAGAATTTTTTGACATAGGGTGCTGGCAGATTACGGGCCTCCCATAGCTGCTGCCAGGCCCCCTAATCTGCCATAGGGCCCCTATATACCGCCTCCTCATGCTGCTGCCAGGTCCAGAGTCTCTCATGGGGTCCCTGTACGGCCTCCCATTGCTGCTGTCTCCATCGCCACACTCTGCCATGTGCCACTTTCAGGTCTCCTCACACTGCTGGTGTGTAGAATTTTTTGACATAGGGTGCTGGCAGATTACGGGCCTCCCATAGCTGCTGCCAGGCCCCTAATCTGCCATAGGCCCCTATATACCGCCTCCTCATGCTGCTGCCAGGTCCAGAGTCTCTCATGGGTCCCTGTACGGCCTCCCATTGCTGCTGTCTCCATCGCCACACTCTGCCATGTGCCACTTTCAGGTCTCCTCACACACTGCTGGTGTGTAGAATTTTTTGACATAGGGTGCTGGCAGATTACGGGCCTCCCATAGCTGCTGCCAGGCCCCTAATCTGCCATAGGGCCCCTATATATTTTTTCCTCATGCTCCCTCATAGCTGCTGCCAGCCAGGTCCAGAGTCTCTCATGGACCGCCCCTGTAACGGCCTCCCATTGCTGCTGTCTCCATCGCCACACTCTCTGCCATGTGCCACTTTCAGGTCTCCTCACACACTGCTGGTGTGTAGAAATTTTTTGACATAGGGTGCTGGCAGATTACGGGCCTCCCATAGCTGCTGCCAGGCCCCTAATCTGCCATGGGCCCCCTATATACCCGCCTCCTCATGCTGCTGCCAGGTCCAGAGTCTCTCATGGGTCCCTGTACGGCCTCCCATTGCTGCTGTCCTCCATCGCCACACTCTGCCATGTGCCACTTTCAGGTCTCCTCACACACTGCTGGTGTGTGTAGAATTTTTTGACATAGGGGTGCTGGCAGATTACGGGCCTCCCATAGCTGCTGCTGCCAGGTCCCTGTACAGGCCCCTAAATCTGCCATATTCAGGCCCCTATATACCCTCCCATAGCTGCTGCCTCCCTGCATGCCTCCTGCTGCTGCCAGGTCCAGAGTCTCTCATGGGTCCCTGTACGGCCTCCCATTGCTGCTGTCTCCATCGCCACACACTCTGCCATGTGCCACTTTCAGGTCTCCTCACACACTGCTGGTGTGTAGAATTTTTTGACATAGGGTGCTGGCAGATTACGGGCCTCCCATAGCTGCTGCCAGGCCCCTAATCTGCCATAGGCCCCTATATACCGCCTCCCCTCATGCTGCTGCCAGGTCCAGAGTCTCTCGGTCCCTGTACGGCCTCCCATTGCTGCTGTCTCCATCGCCACACTCTGCCATGTGCCACTTTCAGGTCTCCTCACACACACTGCTGGTGTGTAGAATTTTTTGACATAGGGTGCTGGCAGATTACGGGCCTCCCATAGCTGCTGCCAGGCCCCTAATCTGCCATGGGGCCCCCTATATACCGCCTCCTCATGCTGCTGCTGCCAGGTCCAGAGTCTCTCATGGGTCCCTGTACGGCCTCCCATTGCTGCTGTCTCCATCGCCACACTCTGCCATGTGCCACTTTCAGTTCAGGTCTCCACACACTGCTGGTGTGTGTAGAAATTTTTTGACATAGGGTGCTGGCAGATTACGGGCCTCCCATAGCTGCTGCCAGGCCCCTAATCTGCCATGGGCCCCTATATACCGCCTCCTCATGCTGCTGCCAGGTCCAGAGTCTCTCATGGGTCCCTGTACGGCCTCCCATTGCTGCTGCTGTCTCCATCGCCACACTCTGCCATGTGCCACTTTCAGGTCTCTCCTCACACACTGCTGGTGTGTAGAATTTTTTGACATAGGGTGCTGGCAGATTACGGGCCTCCCATAGCTGCTGCCAGGCCCCTAATCTGCCATAGGCCCCTATATATATACCGCCTCCTCATGCTGCTGCTGCCAGGTCCAGAGTCTCTCATGGGTCCCTGTACGGCCTCCCATTGCTGCTGTCTCTCCATCGCCACACACTCTGCCATGTGCCACTTTCAGGTCTCCTCACACACTGCTGGTGTGTAGAATTTTTTTGACATAGGGTGCTGGCAGATTACGGGCCTCCCATAGCTGCTGCCAGGCCCCTAATCTGCCATAGGCCCCTATATACCCCGCCTCCTCATGCTGCTGCCAGGTCCAGAGTCTCTCATGGGTCCCTGTACGGCCTCCCATTGCTGCTGCTGTCTCCATCGCCACACTCTGCCATGTGCCACTTTCAGGTCCCTCACACACTGCTGGTGTGTAGAATTTTTTGACATAGGGTGCTGGCAGATTACGGGCCTCCCATAGCTGCTGCCAGGCCCCTAATCTGCCATGGGCCCCTATATACCGCCTCCCTCATGCTGCTGCCAGGTCCAGAGTCTCTCATGGGTCCCTGTACGGCCTCCCATTGCTGCTGTCTCCATCGCCACACTCTGCCATGTGCCACTTTCAGGTCTCCTCACACACTGCTGGTGTGTAGAATTTTTTGACATAGGGTGCTGGCAGATTACGGGCCTCCCATAGCTGCTGCCAGGCCCCTAATCTGCCATAGGCCCCTATATACCCCGCCTCCTCATGCTGCTGCCAGGTCCAGAGTCTGTCATGGGTCCCTGTACGGCCTCCCATTGCTGCTGTCTCCATCGCCACACTCTGCCATGTGCCACTTTCAGGTCTCCTCACACACTGCTGGTGTGTAGAATTTTTTGACATAGGGTGCTGGCAGATTACGGGCCTCCCATAGCTGCTGCCAGGCCCCTAATCTGCCATAGGCCCCTATATACCGCCTCCTCATGCTGCTGCCAGGTCCAGAGTCTCTCATGGGTCCCTGTACGGCCTCCCATTGCTGCTGTCTCCATCGCCACACTCTGCCATGTGCCACTTTCAGGTCTCCTCACACACTGCTGGTGTGTAGAATTTTTTGACATAGGGTGCTGGCAGATTACGGGCCTCCCATAGCTGCTGCCAGGCCCCCCCTAATCTGCCATGGGCCCCTATATACCGCCCGCCTCCTCATGCTGCTGCCAGGTCCAGAGTCTCTGTCATGGGTCCCTGTACGGCCTCCCATTGCTGCTGCTGTCTCCATCGCCACACACTCTGCCATGTGCCACTTTCAGGTCTCCTCCTCACACACTGCTGGTGTGTAGAATTTTTTGACATAGGGTGCTGGCAGATTACGGGCCTCCCATAGCTGCTGCCAGGCCCCTAAATCTGCCATAGGCCCCTATATACCGCCTCCTCATGCTGCTGCTGCCAGGTCCAGAGTCTCTCATGGGTCCCTGTACGGGCCTCCCATTGCTGCTGTCTCCATCGCCACACTCTGCCATGTGCCACTTTCAGGTCTCCTCACACACTGCTGCTGTGTGTAGAATTTTTTTGACATAGGGTGCTGGCAGATTACGGGCCTCCCATAGCTGCTGCCAGGCCCCTAATCTGCCATGGGCCCCTATATATACCGCCTCCTCATGCTGCTGCCAGGTCCAGAGTCTCTCATGGGTCCCTGTACGGCCTCCCATTGCTGCTGTCTCCATCGCCACACTCTGCCATGTGCCACTTTCAGGTCTCCTCCTTTCACACACACTGCTGGTGTGTGTAGAATTTTTTGACATAGGGTGCTGGCAGATTACGGGCCTCCCATAGCTGCTGCCAGGCCCCTAATCTGCCATGGGCCCCTATATACCCATACCGCTCTCATGCTGCTGCCAGGTCCAGAGTCTCTCATGGGTCCCTGTACGGCCTCCCATTGCTGCTGTCTCCATCGCCACACTCTGCCATGTGCCACTTTCAGGTCTCCTCACACACTGCTGGTGTGTAGAATTTTTTGACATAGGGTGCTGGCAGATTACGATACGGGCCTCCCATAGCTGCTGCCAGGCCCCTAATCTGCCATAGGCCCCTATATACCCCTCCTCCTCATGCTGCTGCCCAGGTCCAGAGTCTCTCATGGGTCCCTGTACGGCCTCCCATTGCTGCTGTCTCCATCGCCCACACTCTGCCATGTGCCACTTTCAGGTCTCCTCACACACTGCTGGTGTGTAGAATTTTTTGACATAGGGGTGCTGGCAGATTTACGGGCCTCCCATAGCTGCTGCCAGGCCCCTAATCTGCCATAGGCCCCTATATATATACCGCCTCCTCTCATGCTGCTGCCAGGTCCAGAGTCTCTCATGGGTCCCTGTACGGCCTCCCATTGCTGCTGTCTCCATCGCCACACTCTGCCATGTGCCACTTTTCAGGTCTCCTCACACACACTGCTGGTGTGTAGAAATTTTTTGACATAGGGTGCTGGCAGATTTACGGGCCCCCCATAGCTGCTGCCAGGCCCCTAATCTGCCATGGGCCCCCTATATACCGCCTCCTCATGCTGCTGCCAGGTCCAGAGTCTCTCATGGGTCCCTGTACGGCCTCCCATTGCTGCTGTCTGTCTCCATCGCCACACTCTGCCATGTGCCACTTTCAGGTCTCCACACACACTGCTGGTGTGTGTAGAATTTTTTTGACATAGGGTGCTGGCAGATTACGGGCCTCCCATAGCTGCTGCTGCCAGGCCCCTAATCTGCCATAGGGCCCCTATATACCGCCTCCTCATGCTGCTGCCAGGTCCAGAGTCTCTCATGGGTCCCTGTACGCCCTCCCATTGCTGCTGTCTCCATCGCCACACTCTGCCATGTGCCACTTTCAGGTCTCCTCACACACTGCTGGTGTGTAGAATTTTTTGACATAGGGTGCTGGCAGATTACGGGCCTCCCATAGCTGCTGCCAGGCCCCTAATCTGCCCATAGGGCCCTATATATACCCGCCCCTCCTCATGCTGCTGCCAGGTCCAGAGTCTCTCATGGGTCCCTGTACGGCCTCCCATTGCTGCTGTCTCCATCGCCCACACTCTGCCATGTGCCACTTTCAGGTCTCCTCACACACTGCTGGGTGTGTGTTAAGAATTTTTTTGACAGGGTGCTGGCAGATTACGGGCCTCCCATATAGCTGCTGCTGCCAGGCCCCTAATCTGCCATGGGCCCCCCCCTATATACCGCCTCCTCCTCATGCTGCTGCCAGGTCCAGAGTCTGTCATGGGTCCCTGTACGGCCTCCCATTGCTGCTGTCTCCATCGCCACACTCTCTGCCATGTGCCACTTTCAGGTCTCCTCACACACTGCTGTGTGTGTAGAATTTTTTGACATAGGGTGCTGGCAGATTACGGGCCTCCCATAGCTGCTGCCAGGCCCCTAATCTGCCATAGGCCCCTATATACCCCTCCTCGCCTCCTCATGCTGCCTTGCCAGGTCCAGAGTCTCTCATGGGTCCCCTGTACGGCCTCCCATTGCTGCTGTCTCCATCGCCACACTCTGCCATGTGCCACTTTCAGGTCTCCTCCACACACTGCAGGGTGTGTTGAATTTTTTGACATAGGGTGCTGGCAGATTACGGGCCTCCCATAGCTGCTGCCAGGCCCCTAATCTGCCATGGGCCCCTATATAGGGTGCTGGCCGCCTCCTCATGCTGCTGCCAGGTCCAGAGTCTCTCATGGTCATGGGTCCCTGTACGGCCTCCCATTGCTGCTGTCTCCATCGCCACACTCTGCCATGTGCCACTTTCAGGTCTCCTCACACACTGCTGGTGTGTAGAATTTTTTGACATAGGGTGCTGGCAGATTACGGGCCTCCCATAGCTGCTGCTGCCAGGCCCCTAATCTGCCATGGGCCCCTATATATACCGCCCTGTACAGCCTCCTCATGCTGCTGCCAGGTCCAGAGTCTGTCATGGGTCCCTGTACGGGCCTCCCATTGCTGCTGTCTCCATCGCCACACTCTGCCATGTGCCACTTTCAGGTCTCCTCACACTGCTGGTGTGTAGAATTTTTTGACATAGGGTGCTGGCAGATTACGGGCCTCCTATAGCTGCTGCCAGGCCCCTAATCTGCCATGGGCCCCTATATACCGCCTCCTCCTCATGCTGCTGCCAGGTCCAGAGTCTGTCATGGGGTCCCTGTACGGCCTCCCATTGCTGCTGTCTCCATCGCCACACTCTGCCATGTGCCACTTTCAGGTCTCCTCACACACTGCTGGTGTGTAGAATTTTTTGACATAGGGTGCTGGCAGATTACGGGCCTCCCATAGCTGCTGCCAGGCCCCTAATCTGCCATGGGCCCCTATATATACCGCCTCCTCTCATCATGCTGCTGCCAGGTCCAGAGTCTGTCATGGGTCCCTGTACGGCCTCCCCATTGCTGCTGTCTCCATCGCCACACTCTGCCATGTGCCACTTTCAGGTCTCTCTCCACACACTGCTGGTGTGTAGAATTTTTTGACATAGGGTGCTGGCAGATTACGGGCCCCCTCCCATAGCTGCTGCCCAGGCCCCTAATCTGCCATGGGCCCCTATATATACCGCCTCCTCATGCTGCTGCTGCCAGGTCCAGAGTCTCTCATGGGTCCCTGTACGGCCGGCCTCCATTGCTGCTGCTGCTGTCTCCATCGCCACACTCTGCCATGTGCCACTTTCAGGTCTCCTCACACACTGCTGGTGTGTAGAATTTTTTTGACATAGGGTGCTGGCAGATTACGGGCCTCCCATAGCTGCTGCCAGGCCCCTAATCTGCCATAGGCCCCCTATATACCCTATATACCGCCTCCCTCATGCTGCTGCCAGGTCCAGAGTCTCTCATGGGTCCCTGTACGGCCTCCCATTGCTGCTGTCTCTCCATCGCCACACTCTGCCATGTGCCACTTTCAGGTCTCCTCACACACTGCTGGTGTGTAGAAATTTTTTGACATAAGGGTGCTGGCAGATTACGGGCCTCCCATAGCTGCTGCCAGGCCCCTAATCTGCCATAGGCCCCTATATACCGCCTCCTCCATGCTGCTGCCAGGTCCAGAGTCTCTCATGGGTCCCTGTACGGCCTCCATTGCTGCTGTCTCCATCGCCACACACTCTGCCATGTGCCACTTTCAGGTCTCCTCACACACTGCTGGTGTGTGTAGAATTTTTTGACATAGGGTGCTGGCAGATTACGGGACGGGCCTTCCCATAGCTGCTGCCAGGCCCCTAATCTGCCATAGGCCCCTATATACCGCCTCCATAGCTGCTGCCAGGCTGTCTGCCAAGGTCCAGAGTCCCTCTGTCATGGGTCCCTGTACGCCACTTTCCCATTGCTGCTGTCTCCATCGCCACACTCTGCCATGTGCCACTTTCAGGTCTCCTCCACACACTGCTGGTGTGTAGAATTTTTTTGACATAGGGTGCTGGCAGATTACGGGCCTCCCCATAGCTGCTGCCAGGCCCCTAATCTGCCATAGGCCCCTATATACCGCCTCCCATAGCTCCCATGCTGCAGTCCGCCTCCTCATCTTGAGGTCCAGGTCCAGAGTCTCTCATGGGTCCTGTACGGCCTCCCATTGCTGCTGTGCCTCCATCGCCACACACTCTCTGCCATGTGCCACTTTCAGGTCTCCTCACACTGCTGCTGCTGGTGTGTAGAATTTTTTTGACATAGGGTGCTGGCAGATTACGGGCCTCCCATAGCTGCTGCCAGGCCCCTAATCTGCCATAGGCCCCTATATATATACCGCCTCCTCATGCTGCTGCTGCCAGGTCCAGAGTCTCTCATGGGTCCCCCTGTACGGCCCTCCCATTGCTGCTGTCTCCATCGCCACACTCTGCCATGTGCCACTTTCAGGTCTCCTCACACACTGCTGGTGTGTAGAATTTTTTGACATAGGGTGCTGGCAGATTACGGGCCTCCCATAGCTGCTGCCAGGCCCCTAATCTGCCATGGGCCCCTATATACCGCCTCCTCATGCTGCTGCTGCCAGGTCCAGAGTCTCTCATGGGTCCCTGTACGGCCTCCCATTGCTGCTGTCTCCATCGCCATCGCCACACTCTGCCATGTGCCACTTTCAGGTCTCCTCACACACTGCTGGTGTGTAGAAATTTTTTGACATAGGGTGCTGGCAGATTACGGGCCCCCATAGCTGCTGCCAGGCCAGGCCCCTAATCTGCCATAGGCCCCTATATACCCCGCCTCCTCATGCTGCTGCCAGGTCCAGAGTCTGTCATGGGTCCCTGTACGGCCTCCCATTGCTGCTGTCTCCATCGCCACACTCTGCCATGTGCCACTTTCAGGTCTCCTCACACACTGCTGGTGTGTAGAATTTTTTGACATAGGGTGCTGGCAGATTACGGGCCTCCCATAGCTGCTGCCAGGCCCCTAATCTGCCATGGGCCCCCTATATACCGCCTCCTCATGCTGCTGCCAGGTCCAGAGTCTGTCTCTCATGGGTCCCTGTACGGCCTCCCATTGCTGCTGCCTGTCTCCATCGCCACACTCTGCCATGTGCCACTTTCAGGTCTCCTCACACACTGCTGGTGTGTAGAATTTTTTGACATAGGGTGCTGGCAGATTACGGGCCTCCCATAGCTGCTGCCAGGCCCCTAATCTGCCATAGGCCCCTATATACCGCCTCCTCATGCTGCTGCCAGGTCCAGAGTCTCTCATGGGTCCCTGTACGGCCTCCCATTGCTGCTGTCTCCATCGCCACACTCTGCCATGTGCCACTTTCAGGTCTCCTCACACACTGCTGGTGTGTGTAGAATTTTTTGACATAGGGTGCTGGCAGATTACGGGCCTCCCATAGCTGCTGCTGCCAGGCCCCTAATCTGCCATGGGCCCCTATATATACCGCCTCCTCATGCTGCTGCCCAGGTCCAGAGTCTCTCATGGGTCCCTGTACGGCCTCCCATTGCTGCTGTCTCCATCGCCACACTCTGCCATGTGCCACTTTCAGGTCTCCTCACACATGCTGCTGTGTGTAGAATTTTTGACATAGGGTGCTCATGGGCAGATTATACGGGCCTCCCATTAGCTGCTGCTGCTGCCAGGCCCCTAATCTGCCATCAGGGGCCCCCTATATATACCATAGCCTCCTCATGCTGCATGCTGCTGCCAGGTCCAGAGTCTCTCATGGGTCCCTGTACGGCCTCCCATTGCTGCTGTCTCCATCGCCACACTCTGCCATGTGCCACTTTCAGGTCTCCTCACACACTGCTGGTGTGTTAGAAATTTTTTGACATAGGGTGCTGGCAGATTACGGGCCTCCATAGCTGCTGCCAGGCCCCTAATCTGCCATAGGCCCCTATATACCGCCTCCTCATGCTGCTGCCAGGTCCAGAGTCTGTCTCATGGGTCCCTGTACGGCCTCCCATTGCTGCTGTCTCCATCGCCACACTCTGCCATGTGTGCCACTTTCAGGTCTCCTCACACTGCTGGTGTGTTTGAATTTTTTGACATAGGGTGCTGGCAGATTACGGGCCTCCCATAGCTGCTGCCAGGCCCCTAATCTGCCATAGGCCCCTATATATACCCGCCTCCTCATGCTGCTGCCAGGTCCAGAGTCTCTCATGGGTCCCTGTACGGCCTCCCATTGCTGCTGTCTCCATCGCCACACTCTGCCATGTGCCACTTTCAGGTCTCCTCACACACTGCTGGTGTGTTGAATTTTTTGACATAGGGTGCTGGCAGATTACGGGCCTCCCATAGCTGCTGCCAGGCCCCTAATCTGCCATAGGCCCCTATATACCACCGCCTCCTCATGCTGCTGCCAAGGTCCAGAGTCTGTCATGGGTCCCTGTACGGCCTCCCATTGCTGCTGCTGTCTCCATCGCACACACTCTGCCATGTGCCACTTTCAGGTCTCCTCAACACACTGCTGGTGTGTTGAATTTTTTGACATAGGGTGCTGGCAGATTACGGGCCTCCCATTGCTGCTGCCAGGCACGTAATCTGCCATGGGCCCCCGTACCGACTCCTCATGCTGTGACGTTGCTGATGCAACAAGGTGGAATTCAACCCTACATATGTTAGACCGCCTTTACGAACAGCGAAAGGGCCATCACAGATTTCCTGATGTTAAAAGCGGATAAAGGTACTGCCCTGTGTAACTTAGATGTCAGCCATTGGCAGCTCATGCGTGACACCTGCGCTGCTTGCTCAGGCCCTTTGAGGAGGGCCACGCTATTCGTGAGTCGCCAGGACTATGGGATGAACGACGTCATTCCTCTGTTGCACGTCCTGGAACAAATGCTGTTAACAATGGCTGGTCAGGGTGCGGTAGACGTGGCGCACAGATCTCAACGCCACATGACCCCTGTGGGGGCAGGACAGGAAGAAGAGGAGGAGGTAGAGGAGGACATTGGTGCTCAGGAATTATTGAGTGAAATGGGTGGTTTTTTTCCACTCAGCGGACAGGAGTGGAGGAGCAGGAGCATCTGGTAGAGGAGGAGGAGGAGGAGGAGGAGACAGAGGACCCAGACGCACCGTGGCAGTATGCTGTGGAGATGGAGGCAGGGAGTCCCTCGCATTCCTTGGCACACAAATGGCCCATAGCATGCTCGGATTGCTTGCGTAGCGACAGCCGAATAATAACCATCAGACAGAGGGATGACTTTTTTGGCTGTCCACCTTGTTGGACCCCTCGCTACCGTTCAAAAATGGTGGCCTTTTTCACACCTGCTGAGAGGGAGGCCAAAATAACGTACTATAAAAACCACCTATGTAGTCAGCTGGTCTCTGCCTGTCTGCGCCAACGTCCATCCTCAGACACTGTGGGCCCTGTGCGCTCGCGTTCCGCTGCCATGGCACAGCTGGGAGGGGGTGGGGTGGTAGTAAGGAGCAGTGGCAGCTCCACCAGCAGCGGCTGCCTCAGTCTGCAGTCGATGATGAGTAGCTTTCTTCACCAGCGCAGTGAGGAAACTACTAACCAGCCGCAGCAGCAAGCAGCAGCAGCAGCAGCATCAGGTGGACCTGGAGCAGGACCTCAAACAACAGGCTTGGGCCTACTTGGACAGCACCCTGCCAACCGAGGTAGACAATCCCCTTGACTACTGGGCAACGAAACTTGACCTTTGGCCCCAACTAGCTGAATTTGCCCTTGAAAGGCTGTCATGCCCGGCCAGTAGCGTGGCATCGGAGCGCGTGTGTTTAGTGCGGCAGGAGGTATTGCAACTCCGCGGAGGACACGACTGTCCACCCAAAGTGTGGAGAGACTGACGTTTGTGAAAATGAATCAGGCGTGGATTAGTCTGGATTTCAATCCACCAGTTCCTGACACAACTGACTAAATCCGCCATGAATCATGCCCCAAACATGTGCCACTTTCAGTCTCTCCTCACACTGCTGGTGTGTTCCATTTTTTGTCATAGGGTGCTGGCAGATTACGGGCCTCCCATAGCTGCTGCCAGGCCCCTAATCTGCCATGGGCCCCTATACCGCCTCCTCATGCTGCTGCCAAGGTCCAGAGTCTCTCATGGGTCCCTGTACGGCCTCCCATTGCTGCTGTCTCCATCGCCACACTCTGCCATGTGCCACTTTCAGGTCTCCTCACACTGCTGGTGTATTCCATTTTTTGTCATAGGGTGCTGGCAGATTACGGGCCTCCCATAGCTGCTGCCAGGCCCCTAATCTGCCATGGGCCCCTATACCGCCTCCTCATGCTGCTAGGCCAGGTCCAGAGCCTGTACGGCCTCCCATTGCTGCTGCCAGGTAAACTGTAATCTGCCATGGGACCCCCCGTACCGACTCCTCATGCTGCTGCCAGGCCCGTAATCTGCCATGGGCCCCCTGTACCGCCTCCTATGCTGCTGCCAGGCCCTCGGTCCATAATGATGTCTGCTGGGGTCCAGAGTGTGTCAATGGGTCCCTGTACGGCCTCCCATTGCTGCTGATTGTCTCTATCGCCACACTCTGCCATGTGCCAAATTTCAGGTCTCCTCACACTGCTGGTGGTTTCCATTTTTGTTCATAGGGTGCTGTATGGCCTCCCATTGCTGCTGCCTCCACCGCCACACTGTGGCTCCACACTCTGGTTTTGGCCCCCTGTGACTGGCCAAATGAGTGAAGTGTGCTGTAATTCTATAGATCGACGGCACTCATCTGCATGTCATACTGCCTGACAGTATTATTATTTCTCTTCCCCAGCAGACTCCAAGGGCATTTAAATTAAAGGTACAGTGTTCAGCACTAATATTAAGTCTCTCTGAAGCCTAGAAACACCCTTTTTTAAAGTTAAATTCACAGCGAATATATTCGACTCGAATCAAAATTTTTCCACGAATTCGCCGAATCAGTCGAATCGAATTTTTTGAATACTTCGCTCATCTCTAACAGTGACACTAATACAGTGATCAAAGCATTGACACTGTACTAATGACACTGGGCAGGAATGGGTTAACATCTGGGGCGATCAAAGTTACAGTGTGCTATGTGTATTTTACTTGGGAGACATGCTGCTTTGTATCTCTCTACTGTGCTTGTAACATCTCCAAGTATGGGGATAGTTTGTAGTCTCTCTGTAGTGACTGGTAAGTAGTTTCTAGGAGTTGGTTATTTATATTCCTGTTTTGTAGATGGTCCCATGACAGTGCCCTTATCTTTACTGCAAGTAGTA